AGCTGTGCTGAACTGGCTTTGCAAAGACCCCTCCAGGCATTTGCTTAGGAACTGGTGAAATTACCCTGCCTAATGGCCTCCAGAAGTTAAGTTACCCAAGCAGAAACTGTGCCACGGAGGTCCCAGGAGCTGAGTGAAGCAAATGGCACGTTGGTTTCTATGCCAGTCTCAAGGTAGCAGCTGAAGCATAAATGGGGGATGGAAAAGGGTTTAATATGCTCACACTCTTTGTTGTTTTGGGCTCTTTATGCCCATTAACTTGTCACTGCTCCTCCTGGAAAACATGTGGATGGAACAAGCAGCATTTGTCCGTTTGTTCCATCTGCTCTGCTAACACCTCGGGTCAGGAGGGCTGGGGCTGCCATCAGGAAGTCCCATGCTGAGAGAGCAAGGGCAGTGGCTGCGGACTGGGTTAACTGTGCATGGGAGACCCTCCTGCTGCCTCTCTGTCTGCAGCAACCTGTAGCAGAAGAGCCTCAGGCTTCTTGCTTGCTACAGACAGGAGAGATCCAGCATCGCAGCCAGGAGGGATGAACCCCAGTTAGCTGTTCTATGTGGTGTTCCCCTCATGTGGGAACTGGTGGGATTAAATCCAAAGGTATCAACTGTAGAAATGCCTGTCAGCTGGAATGACAGATTTTGGTTGTGGGTGTCCTCCTCCTAGCTCACTGCTGTAAGAGAGGAAGAGCTCTCACTGGGGTGAGTATGTACTCAGGTTTCCTCTGTCATGTTGAGTTTAGCTGCCATGGAGTGTAATGACAAAGACAGCCTGGATCAGCTTCAAAATAGGGCAGAGCTCCAGATAGTATTTTCTGCAACATTTGAATCAAATCAGACGAAAGGTTTCTCAATTAAGTTCCTCCAAGTACAGAGTTACAGTTAAGAGCTCATGGGAGTACTTAACATGTTCTGGTTTGTCACTTGGAAAGACATTAGGGAAGAGAAAGAGGAACACTGGTAACCAACAAAGCAGCTACAGAGTATTCACCACTGTTAATATCAGGGTCCAGCATTGGTGTGACCCCTTCCCCTTCGTGGGGCTTCTCTCACTTCCTTCAAAGCAGGAGCCCAGCTCCACACCCAGGCATCGTTACATCGAGGTCTGGCTGATTAGGAGCTCCATCACCAAACGTGCGTACTTTGTCCTGCGCTGGTTTGCTCCAATAACTCTGAGTTATTGCAGGTAACAGATTTACCCTGATGTTCCCAGTGACTAGCTGTAAAAGGAGACATCTTTTTTACTTGTCCTGTGCTAAGCACAAAGGAAGCACTTCCCTTCTGAAAGTATTTTAAGATGAAATAATTAACAGGCAGGAAAACAACCCCCAGTTCGGAGCCTTGGGAAGCTGTTTATGCTTCCCGTAGGACCTTTCCTCTCTCTCATCCCATTTCTCCTGCTTCCCTTGCAGTTGATGGCCCTGAGCTGGTACATCACATTCGAGCCTGTGCCTCACTCCGCACGTAAGTAGTGGTGTGATCCTGTGGAATAAATGTGTGTGATGGGAGCCTGCTCCCTGCCCTCCGATGCATCGCCCCCAGCCTTGTGAGCACTCAGCTCGTAGGTTTATTATTTATCTTGCTGAGCTGTGTTCAAACCTGACAACCTGACTTCATGCCCCTGAATTACTGCACCAAATCTGTGCGTAAGGACCTGAGCTGCAGCAGTGACTGATATGAATAGGTCTGCCTGCAGCTAAAAATAGAAAGCACAGGGCAAGCTTCCTGGCAGAGCTGTAGTAACTTCTAATATAAGGTGGCTCGGCGGCAGCAGTTCCCATGGCAAAGCTTCCTCTGATGCAATGAGGAACGCTGTAGTATGTGCTCAAGCCAATCTTAGACAACAGAGATTCCTTGTGGGAGCTGCCCTGTGAGGCACAAAGCCCAATATTGAGTTTTGAAGTTTATTTCTTTCCAGTACGGGGGTGCCCAGCCCTGCAGAAATCCTTCCTTGGCTTTGTATTTCTCCGTGCCTCAGTGTCCCCTCTGTGAGAGGTCTGGGTGCTCTGGTGGATGCAGTTGAGCTGTTTCATTACTGTGCCACAGGGAATGCTGCAGCGCCTGGGCAGACTTGCAGACCCCAGCCCACTCCCCTATGAGCCTGTTCTGCTCCATGGTTCCCCACTGTGCTTTTATTCCTACTGCTCCAGATGTGGAGGGATTGCTCGTTCCCCTGTTCACAAACCCAGCAGGAAGATTCACTTTCTCAGCCCCAGGTATAGCCCTATGGCGTGGCTTGCAATGAAGTGTTTCCTTCCTTGCAAGGCTAGGCATGTCTGTTGTAACTCGGTAAATCCTGCATCATGGGAAGTTATTTTTCTGTTCATTAGGACTTATTTGCTGTGAAAATCATCCATCTACCCCCTAACTCCCTCAGAGTGCTCGTGCCATCAGTCATAACAGTGGTTCATCACAGCGATGCTAATTGCAGTGAGTGGCTCATTGTCCCCCATGCTGGAACATATGGTCTCTGGCCTAAACCGTGCCCCATGCAAAGGCTTCTGCACGAGGAGCAGCTGTGCAAAGACTTAGTGGATCTCCCTAGGGTCAGTGGGTCAGTCAAGTGTATTATCCATAAGGAAGAGCATGAGAGAACCACGTGGCAAGACCAGGCAGCAGAAGAGCAGGGAGGGCTCCTGGGAGCATTGCTGTGGCCCCAGCACAACTCTCCTCCTTGCCCAGGAGCAATGGTGCTGATATGCAGCAGCCTCTGGGGTAGAGGTAGCAGCAGGACAATGGGAGAATGGGGCTGAGGGATGCAGGTTGAGGTCTCGGCTGCTGCTGGGCTCAGCTGTGTGTTTGTACAATAGGAACCCGCTGTGGTCTTTCCGCCTTAGGCAGAACACTGCTCCTGCATCGACCTGAGCAGCCCCTTGGTGCAGGATGTGATTCCTTTGGAGCTGAAGCTTGAGACTACTGCATAGACCACAAAGAAACCCACAGGACTGGGACCTTCACCTGTACGAGTGCTTAGCTCCTGTATTGGCATAAGTGTAAAGGAATGCTGGCATTCTCTCAGCATGCCCCTCAGCTCACTGGTGATGCAATAGGGTGGCACAAGTCTGAGGCTGCCCTGGTCTGTCAGAGCCTCATCCTGCCACCTCCCTGGGAAGGAGCCTCTAAAACAAGAGGGTGTAATCTTTATTTCAAGGCAGAGCTCAGAAGGAGCAAAGAATCCAGCTTTGGGGCAAATGAGTTGCATAGGACAGGCTGCTATCACTTTCTTGTTCTGCCCTCTTCCCCTGAAGTTAATTTTGGCTGGTTGGCCCTGGGGCTTTTTAGGCGTGAAGTTGCCGAGTCAGGCTTAATTGTAGCTCTTACATCAGGTGTGGAAGTGAGCAGCCTAGGGTGCTGTGGATACCATGGGCATGCAGGGGGAGGAAAGGGCTGCCAGGGGAGGTTGCAGAGATTAAGGGTGTTCTGTGGGTAAAGACAGCTCTTTGCGATGTGAGTGCTCCACACCTTTGCTCTCCTGTTTCCGTCCTGTTCCAGAGAGCTTCTGGGGAGACCCAGGACTGCTGCTTTCTTGGTGCAAACAGAGGCTTTGCTGGGTGAGCGCAAAGTCCTCCTGCAGGAAGGCTATCGCTTGGTGTTGTGTTTGTGGTCCATCACTTGATGCTGTCTCTGCTGCATACAGATGGAAGGCAGATGGAGATGTGCTTGTGCCTGCCCATGAGCCCTGGTCACTTTCAGATCCATCCCCAGGGCAGCGGCTCCCCCCAGAGCCCCTGCTTTGCTTTGAGGGGTGGCTGATGGGAAAGAACAGAGTCCAGCCCTGGCACAGTGAACTTCCCCCAGTCACTGCCTAGAAGGTCTGGCAGTGTCCATAGGGCATGTTTTGATGCTGCTAAAGTTCTGGCATGTGACTGAATGCATCTTACTTGATTTGCTGTGATAATGGCTTTAGGACTGTGGTGTGACAGATGCACTGCTCCTGTTTGAGCTAACTGAATTTTGGTCCAGGCAAGTAGGCCTAACCAAAGTTAATCCTGTTGTGTGGGGCTATCAGGGAGAACTCAGCACCAAACCCCCCCAGGAAACCCTGTTTGGCTGGAGGCTGGGCTGATAAGTGGCCAAAACCGCGTTAACACAGCAGAAAATCTGACTAAAATCAATCACTTTACGCTATTAATATCTGCAGCCATCAGGGTCTGTTGAGCTCTCCATCCACAGCAGCCAGCTGCACAGTGGTGATAACCCCTTGAGCAGAGATACTTCCCAAGGCTACCCCTCGAGGATGGGACATCTCTTACCTGACACCAGGCATCAATGCATTGGTAAGTGACATTGCTTTTTATGTATGCAATGTGTAAGATACATAGAGTAAGTTTAAGTGATTATCTTTGTATCCTATACTAAAAGTGTAGTAGATATTGACTGCCAACCCCTCTGTACTTTTTACATATTTTACATACCTGAATTTACTGGTTAGAACTCAATAAGCTAACTACCAGCTCAGAGCTGAGTGATCTCTGTGACACCATCGTTGGCATTCATTGAGTTGCAGGTGCACTGTGGTATCTTTTCTCCATTTCTGCTCTGGTTTTGCCCTTGCTGAGATCCTGCAGCCTCTGTTGGTTCAGCTCACGGGAGTTTTCCAGCTTGCCTTAAGTAGGATGGGGTTCATTTTTATTCTGGGGTCAGTGTTATCTTCCCTGTCCCATCCTAGCTAAGAGGTTTCCAACACTAAAACAGTGCAGAGGCTGGCATAGCACTGATTCTACCTGGTGTCTTCAAGGACTGGAATAATAATGGGAGGGATGGGCTGTGAGATAGACACCTGCTTACATATGTAAGGTGATGGAGATGCTGCTGTTGCTGTAGCTTGCAGCTGGGTTAGGATATATGCTAGTGGGGTATGTATGGTCAGTTCAAAGAAGTTTGCTATGCTGGGACCTAAAAGTGGCATCTAAGGGATGGCCATGAAGTGTCCAGGGGGGAAACTAGACTTTAAATAGCTGCAAAGATTACCAAGAGCTGGGAGCTGAGCCCTGTTACCTGCGTGTGTTGATCAGCATTGAATTAGACAGAGGCCTGGCTGTTTGCTGGGAGCTGATCATACTCACTGAATACCACTGCATCATCTCTTCCAGAGTGCAGAAAACCAGCTGAACAAATGGACATGTGCAGGTGATCTGTAGTTCAGGGACTTTCTTTCTGTCTTGTGGCTTTTCGTGTGTTTTTGTTTCATTTTTTACTGCTGGGATCTGAAGGGATTTGAATGGTTGACTCTCCCTAGCCTGATGGCCTTGGCAAGGAGACTTCAGCTTCTCAGCACTGAATAAGACAACTGTGCAGGCAGGAGTGTTTCAGCCAGCTTGGACACAGAGCTGATTTATTACTCAATAGAGCCATTGAGGAGCTGGAAATTGGATGTGATTTGTACTCAGGGCCAGCACTGGCTTGCTGGGATGAATTCTGTTCGAGGCATCACCTGTGAGTGCAACCTTCCCTCCCGTTCACCTCCAGAGCAGTGATACTGAAGGGTTTTACAGTGACCCCCTATCCCCATGGTGAGCCCAGCTGACAGTGGGATCCCCACTGCTATGCCTCCTTCTTGTTCTCTCTGCCCACACAGGATTAGGCAGCCCAGATCTAATCTCTTCATCCCTACTGAGCTGCTGAGAAATCCTGTGCTGGCTGTTTTGGGGCAAAAAAAAAGCTCTTTGCTAATTCACAAAACTGGGGGGGGGGGAGAGGAAGAAACTAGGGAGAATAATTGCCTGATTCCCAGCATCCTCGATGGCAGCTCTTAAGCAATTACAGGGACTCAGCAACACCGGGATCGCAGCACGCTCTCGGAGATTAACAGTCTGCTCAGCTGGCAATTAGAGGTGGTTAAATGGGAAGCTGCCACTTAGCTTTGACTTTGTAGCGGCTGTTTTTGCTTCTCCGGGTCAGGCTCCAGGTACTGAAGGGAGGGTATGAATAGCTGTGGGGAAGGATTAAGCGTGAGCTGCTTTTCGTGTCTGGGGGGAGAAGCCTGTGGACAGGGTGGCTGGAAGGTGATAAAAGCGATGCTCTGGTTTCTGCGTTAGTTATCATCTCTATCCCATTCCCTGCTTCTTCTGTCAGCCTGGAGGGCACAGGCTGCTCCCTGGTCCAATGTTTCCTCCTGTTCTAACTTTCCCTCCATCTTTGTTTGAGACCTTGGGAAATGACTTAACTTGCTGATGCCATCTGCGAAAACACCAGTGCTGTTCTCATTTGCACAGGAGAAACAGTGAGCTGAGAGACACAGGTTCACCTCTCTGCTCAGGCTCAGACCTCCTGTGAGATCCTGTTCAGGTCAGTAGGGTGCACTTCATGGTTTCTTTGCTACCAAAGAGGTTTATGATGTTCCAGCCTCTTGTGCTGTGGTGCATCAGAGGGCCTGAATGATAAATAATCCTTTAGCCTCAGTTGCTTCAGTGACTGCTGTATTGCTTCAGTGCTTCATGTAGACCTGCTGAGAGTGTGGCAGTCCCTCATCTCTGGCTTCCCCAGAGCTCTGTGGGGTTTAGTGCTGTATTAAGACTCTTGCCCAACTCCTTTGGTGGGGTTGAGGACCTAAGATAATGACGATGGAAGGAAAAGACTGGAGAACAGAGGCCAAGACAAATCCCTGCTGGCCCACTGCAGCCCTGTTTGCATCCCATGGGCACTCAGAGGCTTGGTATGGCCCATGTCAGTTGACTCTGCTGCAAGCATAGTGCAGTGCAGATGGAACAGCCACACCTGTCCTGCTCATAGGAAAAGCCATTCAGCCATCTGCTTTTCCTTGGCTATAAACCATGCTGGCATGAAGGGTGCTGGCCATCGGTACATGGAGCCACAGCAGGAGCTGGTGCCACTCTCCTTGGGCTCAGCAGGAACCTCTCGCTTTGGCATTAGCTCCAGTTTTTGTCTTGCCATGAGTTTCTAGGCCAGCTGTCTTCCTTCATTATCCTCACACTACCTCTTTATCTCATCTGCCCCCTCTTCCTCCCGTTTCCTTCCTCCCGGTCCCCTGTCCATTGCTGAGCTCTTGCCCGCCAGCAAAAACAAGGCAGAGCAGTGGAACGTGACAGACCCTGCTGAAGGCACATCGGGCCAGACAGCAGAGGCAGAGTCAGCAAAGCTGGTCCCTGCTTGCTGTCCCCCAGCATCCAGCTGGAAGGGAGCTTCCAGTGGTGGGAGGAAACTTCCAAAGTGCCCTTCTTGAGCACATCTGCAGGCCTGCCTGTGCCTGGAAGCTGTAGATAGGAAGGCAGTTTCCATCTCCTCTGCCTGTGTGGTGTGCTCAGGCCAGCTCCTTCCCTACCATGCTCCCTCCGCAGCCCCAGGCTGACAGGTTGAGGGGCAGATCCAAGGCGGTGCTGGCTCCAGCAGACACTACTATGCAGATCATTCTTCCTGGAAGTCCTTGATTATGGTCTTTTGTGCCTCTAGACATGGCCTTGGTGATGACAGGACAACCTGTTTGCACAGAAACAACAGTAACGTTCTCCTGTTCTGGCCATCGTGTGCTCAGGGACATCAGCTGCAGGGGTGAGACTGAGGAGTTTGGGGCTATGTTGAGATGAAAGAGCCTTGGCTGTGTGACACAGGGTGGCTGTGGATCTGAGGCAGAGCTCAAGGGCCCATTATATGGCCAACCATAAAGCATAATAATAATCTGTAGGTGCAGGTGCTATAAATACAGCCTCTGCAGCACACTGCTTTCAGTTACTCCTTGCTTTACTTCTGCTGACCTCCAGCCACCATGCACAGCCATGAACTAAACTGCAAGGACCCTTCAGTTAAAGGAGGACCATGGAAACAGATGCAGTAAACCCTGTCCCAAAATATCCCGTGTTTAATTTTACTCCCTCTTATCCCACACACCAGCTCTAACCCACAGCAGAGCTCTCATCTGAAATCAGAGATGCTCATCAGGAGCAGCCTGCTGCTTCAGAGATGTGCTTTCAGGGCCTGGAGAGGAAAACAACCCTTCATTGCCACAGCTGTAGAACACAGATGTGCTGGGGCCTGGCCCTTTCCAGGGGCATGTTGTGCCTGTGAGAGCTGTGCTTTTGGGAGCTTTGGGCTTGGATGTGTATTGTATGCGAAGAGAAACCTCAGCATATGCAGGATCTCAGGGGAGGTGCACGGGGCTGAGTTAGGTGAGATCTTGTAGGAGACCTTGTAGTACAGGTGACTTACAAGCTTCAACCCTCTGGGACAAGGCTGTGCAAACCTGTAACTATGCCTCCAGATGTGCAGAACATCGTCAACTCCTCTGGCAAAGGGAGCAGGAATGAAATTGAGATTGAATTAAACTTTCCTGGTCACACCCCCTCCTAATGCCTCATTCTGGCACTGACAGACTGTGTCAGGAGCCTCCTGACAAGGTTTTTGTGTAAAGGCAAGAAAAATCAAGTAGTGAAATGCTTTTTAACCTCTAGAGGCAACAGGAAAGAGGCAGAGCCTTCAGTGTCTTGTTCGGCTCAGCAGCCAGAGCAGTTCCACATGGCTCAGCACAGCTGGAGCAGTATATGAGCCACATCTGCAGTGCCTTGGAGCAGGGAGGGTGAGGAGAACTCTTGAAGTATTTGGTGTTGTGAATTGTCTGTCAGGGAAAGGACCGACAAAGCCACCAAGATGTGGAGGGGAAGCAGACCTCTTTCTGCTGTATTTAAATTGGCAGGGCTGCTAGAATTAGAAAACATGGTAACTGTGTCTCTGCCTCCCAAAGTAGAATTATATTTGGGGTCTGGATGTTCCCCTGGGAAGGGTTATGGCTTGGGAAGGAGGATTTCCTGGCCCATGTATGCTGAGATCCACAGTCCAAATCCAGGAGCCATTGCTATTCCAACACTGACCTCTCGTTAGAGGTTTACACTTCTTAAGCTGGAGACTGCTTCGGACTCCAGTCTGCCAGACCTTGCCTTGGTCTGAGGCCCACAAAGCCTCCCACAGACAAGACAGAGCATGGAGGTCCAGGCAGGGTGGCTGTAGGTGATTGCCTGCTGCTGTGTTCCCACCAGGCTGCATTACTGTGTACATGGAATGGGATACCCATGCCATGGTGGAGAGGCTACAGGTGTAGCAGGGAACTTCTTTGTAGTGATGGTGGTCACACGTGGTTTTGTGGAACTCATTATCAGCAAGTCCTTAGGTAAAACTGCAACTGCAGTGTACCTGTTCCACTGGGCAAACTATCGGGTGCTCAATTGCTCTTAGCTGGGGTGCAAAACTCAGGGGAAGAAAATTAATACAATGCAATACAATACACGAAGCAGTGGCTGGATCTTCTTGTTGGTGGAGGCAGTGCCTCCACCTCTATCCACAGTGTCCAGGTCCATCACCAGAAAGCAGGCTGAGTGCACCAATGCAGACATCACTTTGCAGGCCAGTTGCACATGCTGGGTGGGGGTATTTAAGTGTTATATTTTAGACAGGCAAACTTGTGCAGAGAGAGGGGGAAGATTTAATTTTAGCAAAGGACTGCAGAAACTGTGGGTAACTGCACTGCTTGATGCTATTGCGCTGTGCTCATAAAGGGATTAAAAGGGGCTAGTAACCCTAGGGTTAAAAGGGGGCTGGTAACCTCTAGCAGGATTAGCGAGTATGGAAAGGAGAACCTCGAGTTTGGATTAAAGATGTTTAAAAGTCTCTTGTACCAGCAAGCTCTTTTCTCTGGGGGAGATTAGGAGTGCAGTTTCTCCCAACCACTCTGTTAATCTGGTCTCCATAGAAACAGGATGATGTTAGTGGTGATGCTCTCCCCTAAATGGCTGCTCAGCAGCCGTGTTAAAGGGGGAGAATAGCTTTAGTTTGTCACCCAAACCTGGTTTGCTTGTCCCCTGTCAGTCCCTGACAGTTGCTGCTGGGGGAATTTTTGCTGCTAGTTTTGTGCTGGTGGAACCTGCACCAGTGCCCCCATGCACTGGGTGTTTTGCTGGAGAGTTCAGAGGCTCAAGTATTCACACCTCATTCAGCCAGCCCAGAAGAGCCACAGACATTTACACAGTTATGATTTTACTGGTGATCCTGAATGGGACAGGCTATGGCTCTCTTAAATGTGGCAGATTGGATGTCTCTTATGCACCTACATTGCTTAGTGTGACCAGGGTACCTCCGTATTGGGGGACCATATTCAGGAGGTTTCCTGCAGTGACCACCCTTGGATATTGCAACGCAGCCTATGGACAAGGCATCAAGAAGTCAGGAAACTTGCTTTGTCCTAAAGCAAATCCAGCCTTGCAACTTCCAGCCAACAGTAATCACCAAGGCAGCTTTGCTCTGTGCCTGTCTGTGCTGGAGACAGAGGAAATGCCTGTCCCAGGGATTCATCCCAAATGCTGACCAGTTTGGCCTCTAAATGCAAACTGGAGGTTCTAATGCAGCCATCCAGGCTGAGGGCGAAATGGTGGGAGGCTTGTAAACGTTCCCTGCATCTTTCTAAATCCCTTTTCATCCTGAGTCACATGCGGAAGGAGCGTGGGTGAAAGCGAGTAGGCAGGGAGAGAGAGGGATGGTAGGGCTGCATGAATTTGGATATGCACATCAGCTATCAAACATAGTGCAAAATTGCTGTGAAAGCAAGGGAAAAAGATAAATTTCATGTCACAGTCTTCAGATGATGAGCTACTGCTGCTCCTGTTTTCTGTGTTAGCGGAGTTAAAGTGGGACTTGTTTGTTGAGATGAACAAGGGGTTTCTTCCTGTCTCCTCTTCCTAACCCTTCCCTCCATTTTTCTCTCCACTGCTCCATAGCTGTGTTTCCCAGTGGATTTCAGCCAGCTGCTGGGGACTGCTGCTACCTCGAGTCCTTTCAGATGGGTCACGGGTCTGGCTAAAGAAAGTTGAAACAAAGCAAACAAAACGTAGATGACCTTTCTGCCTACCTGACTCCACCTGCTTCAATAACACATTGTGCCGTCAACTAATTCCACCTAAATTTGGAACCGCATACTTAAAGACATCATGGAACTGAAGAGTCAGGGGAGAGACTTTATCAGGAGTCTTGTTGGCCTCGCTGCAAGCTCAACCCTAAACCAGACCTCAAAGATTTTCATCCTGGAGACAACGCCACAGGATCCAATCTCCCCTCGCAGAGCCCCTCAGTGCCTTCCTGGGTCCATCTGGATTTGTCCATGGGTGTTTCCTGTAAACCCCATTACTTTCTCAGTGTGAAAAACATGTCTAGACCAAACAGCCGCTTCAGATTTAATGTGTGAGTGATGACTTGAATAAGAACCCAGCCACAGCAGCACAGTGTCAGCCAGCACCAGGAAGCCTTTGGAAGAGAGGCCCAGCCCTGGTCTGCTAGTGAGTAAGAGAAAGGGTTCTGCACACTATGACCAGGTAGCCCTTTCCCACCTAATGAGCCCTGTGGAAGGGTCCTGTAGCCTCATCTATCATTTAAAAAGTCATTCTGTTCTGCAGAGCAGGCAGCAGCTCCCATGTGGGCTATACCTCAGCAGTTGTAACTCACCCCAGTTTATAAATAAGATGTTTTCCCTTGACTGCCAGGTCGCAGTGACATCTACCAGGCAAGCTGCGATCTCTATGGCCTGTGAATCATCGCTGATAACGGTGATCCCGCTGTCTGACTCCTGCCTTTACCAGCTGTACAGCACCAGAGTTTGAGGATGCACCCAGAGAGAGCTCCCTGGCACTACAGTAAGGGAAATTGTCTCTTCCTTCTGGAGGACAGCCCAGACAGAGACTACCTGTGAGGGATGCTTTTATGGACAGAAGGATAGTACAGGTTACCTTCACTGTCCCTGGAAGGTATTCGTACCTCCCCGACCCAGCCTTCCTCATCCTTCACATTCATGAGTTCTTCTAGCACCAAGGCCAGATTAAGACTAAATTTTCTCCTTCTTGCCCTCAGAACTGTTCACAGCCTGGCCTGTGTGCAATAGTCTCCAGCAAAACGGGGGAAATTTTGGCTGTTCTTTGGGTCTCAGTATCTCCGGCTCCTCCATCTGGAACATCAGCATCTTGGCCTCCATCCCTGGGATGTTTCCCTGCTCAGTTCAGACTCAGGTAAGTCCTTGGTTTTGTGTGTCAGTGTCTTGTTTTCTCTGGTCATAAGAGCATAGCCTTTTGTCAGAGTGAAGACAGCATCAAAAACTGTGGTCTTAGTAATAGACATCAACTTCATCTTGTAGGGTGAGAGACTGGAACCTGTGCATTTGCTAGGAGCAATGCTCAGATGATGCTGGAGGAGCTGGTCAGTGTCTCAGGTCCTCTTTCTGCCTCCACTACAACTGTCTGGCACAGCTGATGATGTGTTTCATTGTTCTGCATCTTCATTACAGCCAGGATAGCAACACCTCGTGGGAGTGAGAGTAGATGTTCATTGGCATTTGTCATCAACTCGGCTACAAGCACCCTGGGGAGGCCTATAAATAAGTGAGGGGCTGTGAGTCAGCAGTCACTAGAGAAGCAGCATCTGCCCCTGTGTCCATTTCATGATTGCTTCAAAAGCTTAAACTCTCTTTTTAATTTGGGCCTTTGCATTAAATTTGCAAGAACCCCTCCACAAGTGGAGCAGAGGGAGGTGAGCTGCTGTGCCTCCAGGGATGCAGCCCATGATGATGCAGCCCATGAGACTGATTGCAGGCTCCACCACAGCAGCCTCATTCCTTATGGATGTGTACCTGCCTTCACGTTTCCTTCTTTTTCTTTCTTAGGGTGGGTTTTCCTGGTGTCTGTTACTGCTGGTCAGAGAGAGGCACTGAAAGAAAGCGTTTAGGTAAGACTTGGGGAGAAGCAACCAGGTACCTGGATGCGTTATCAAGGTAGAAGCCCTTTTGCATCTGCAAAGTCACTGGTGGGACTCCTATGAGACTGAGTGATCTGAGCAAAAAGTAGAACCGTGTACACCTCGAGGCTCTTAGCAGAAAAATTGCAGCTTGGATTTAGGTTCAGATCCCCGAGTTCAGCTTTCCTTGTTTAGTTCACCCAGTGCTTTGACACGTTATTGACAGTCATGCTTTTGTAAGGCTGTGTGGGCTTGTGTATGCTGGGACACACTGAAGTAAAGGTCCTTCTCTGTGTGCACTTTGGGAGAAAACAGTGTGTGTATGAAGGTACAGCACCAAAACAGCTCTGCTGGCTGTGGCATGTTTATCATCTGTCCTCTGCTAAAATAATCTTAGTGAAGACCTTGGCTTTGTCTGCATGGGGGGGGGGGGGGGGGGAGATGAACGTGTGTCCCTTGTTTCAGGGTGTAAATGTCCTCACAGTTTGTTGGGGTAAAGCTTGCTGAGCAGAGTTGTCCATTTCCCCACTGATGAGAGAAGGAAGGTGTTTTGTGGGGAATGGGAAGCAGAATCAGTCAGCCCAGGGGAGATGAACAATAATCATGAGACTGCATGTGAGACCACATGGGAGACTTGCAGTGCCCTAAGAGATCCTAAGGACTCCATATGGTCTGAACAGCAGCAGCACTGAGCTCCACTGCTGTCTTAAAACCACCTGAACGTCAGTCCCGTGATGTGTTTGCACCTTGGTGAATGAAGACGTGCTCTGTGCCCTAGATGAGAACACAGAGAAAGAGCCACAAAGGCATCACGCAGGCTTCTTGCTGAAGCACAGCCAGCGAGGAGGGAAGATCTCTTGGCCAGGTCATCCTCCAGCTCTCACCCTTTCTAGTGAAGCCTTGTTCCTGTTAGCCACTCAGTCCTTCTGCTTTCAAGTCAACAAGTTACAAAGAAGGTTAAATGCAAAGAGGAGGAGAAAAGACAGGATGATATATTTCTGTGCACACACTCCCTCTCCCTCTTCATTCCTTTGAGCCATTTTTAACCCAAGCTAATTCAGCTGGAAATATTAATAACCCTATGAGGACGCCACCTCCTTGTAATGAAGTGTAAAGGTCACTTCTGCTCAAATCACACAACTCTTTCATTTTGTTCTCTGTGAGGAGCAGCTTCTCTCTTTAATTATTCAGTTTGCTTTTATATTGCAGTCGCTGCTCTCTTGTCTCTAATCTCTGACACTTCCCCGTTACGCCAGCCCCCGGGAGGCTGGGTGATGCGGCAGCATGGGTTGCACTGTGGATGCTGTGAGCAGCAGTTGGGACTTGCCTGGGGGAGGAAGGAGAGGCTGGATGTGAGGGAGAGATAATTCTTGGTTTTCAGAGTTACTTGTTTGATGGTGTGGGTCAGATGGGTTTTTGTCAGGATTTTGTAATGCATGTTAATTTTTGGCTGAGTTAAGTCCTTATACGTGAGGTGCCACTTGATATGATGGGAAGGAAAGGGGCTGAGAGGGAGTGGGGAAATTCCCATCCTCTGGGCCCACCTAATGGGTGGATGGAGGTGGAAGGCTGTGGATGGGAAGTGACCAGTAACTATATTGCTGAGTAACGTAGTTGCTTACAGGGCCCTGAGATGAAGCAAAACCTCTGGCATCAGTACAACATCCTCAGTGCTCAGGTGTCTCTTAGCTCATGATGCTCATAGCCAGGGAGGGCAGAGTGAGAAATCACTGCAAATCTGAGCACTCCTGAGGCACGCTGTGAGAGTCACCAGCACAAAAATGGGGGATGATTATTCTCTGGGGATGAATTTGGGGTCACATGCAAGTTCTTTGACAGGTGTCCAAGAGGGGTCTGAGGAACAGGGCCAGCAGGATCACACCACAGCTCCCCATCATGCCCAGAGAAGCTTTGATTTAATAGGCCCTTAGGGTTCTTCCCCACTCTGTGCTGGCACCCAGTGGGTCTTCCCAGGAAAGCCAGAGCATCCAAACCATGTTCTCTCCGCTACCATCCAGTGTGGGAGCAGCTCCCGTCACCCTTCACCCTAGGCCCTTGTTCATTCACCTGGAGGGCAGTTGGACCCTGGCTGGTGTGGTCCTTTCTCCGTGCTGGTGCCACCACGCTTGGCTTTCTCAAAGGTACAATAGGGAGTCTAAGACCACAGGCAGTGTGTCAAGAGACTGCGTGGGAATGTGTGAGCTCCTGTAAGATCTCCAGGGGTTGGAAGGGGCTATTCCAACGGCTGAGATGGTTATTGCACTAATTATTACTGTAGCATCCTAAATAATTAATAACCATTATCAATGGTATGGACCCAAGAGAGGCAGAAACTTGTGGTGGCTGTAACCCCTCCGTCCCCCAAGCACTGCTCCCTCCAGGACTTCTCTGCAGTGTTTTATCTCCCCGAATGTTTAAATGACTTGAGCAATGTGGGCTTTCCTCCATTTCCCCATGGGACTCCTCATTCTCTGCTCTAACTATAACACTGCAGCAGCTATTAGTGCCCACAAACAAACACAAGTCCTTGGTAGCTGGGATGAGTTAAGTTTATATAATTGTGTGAAGGTTTGAAAGCTGAAAAGCCTTTCCCTGTGCACTGCATTAATCATTTAAATGGAGCCTGAGTGATGGGTTTTTCATGTGTGTGTCGCTGGTTTCTTTTCCCCCACTCCCCATGGAGTCCGCATGTTGTTGGCTATAACTTGGTGTGTTCAACATCAGCTAAGCCATTGCTAAAGCCAAAATGATTTCTGGACTCATGTTCACATTAATCTGGTGATGGACTCACGCAAGCCATGCACTGTGCTAGTAGTAAAGAAGCAGGATATCTGATGAGAACGTGTAAAAGTTTTGCTTGTAAGACATATTTAATGGTACAAGAAGTCTCACACAGAACTGGTATGGTCATTTCTAAATTACAGCTGCCAGCAGAAGCACAGAGACACAAAGCAGCAGTGGCACCGACACATGGGAAGTCTAATGAACATAGCACTGACCAGCTCTTTGGCAGAGGATGGAGATGTCCTCTTCCAAGCTGTCCTAGTTGCCAGGGGTTTGCCCTCTCATTGCCTCTTTTGGACACTCTGCAGGAGCAGTAGCATCACAGTGAAGTCAAGCTACCAATTTAAACTTGAAGCTATTTTCTCTAACATTGTCTGAAGAAGGGGCTTCAACAGCAGCCGTCCTCGACACAGCTAGCTGCAGAAGGTAACTGTTGTCCATAGCATAAGTTGTGTACTTGCATCATCCCTTACTCCCATCCCTTCTGTGGTTGCTCCAGCAGACTGTTAACAACAGCTCAATATGCAGTAGCATAAACCACATCAGGACACAGTTTGCTCTATGTGGAGCTACAAATGTAGCTTGGTTCCAGCTAATGCCCTTATATGACCTGATCTTTATAAAACCTCATCGTAAACATGCACCACTTGTTCAAAACCTCACATAAACAGAAAATCCAGAGTTCAAAAGTTGTAACTTTGGTGAGGCAGGGGAGGGGAAAAACAGCTGTGAGTTTTTAGGTGAAAATCCAGGAGCATTTGACTGTGGTTTTGCAGATGTGATTTCTATGCTGCGTTCTGTTTGGAGGGTGCAGTTCAGCATCTGCCACCATCCTCCTTCAAGCCCCTAAGTATGGCTCATGGAAATGAGATTGAAGGATATTAAAAATTCCTAGAGGAGCTAAGGAGAGATAATCAGGATTAGTGTGCTGACAATGGGGGAAGAGGCTGAAAGCGTGAGGGGGTGGCTATGGCCAGGGTTGCCAAAATGTGTGTCATTGCATTTCCAGAGTTGTCATTAAGGCAAATCCAGTCTTCTGGCTGAAGATGTGAACTGTTTTAATAATAAAGTCATTGGGATTACAATCAGAAGCTAAGAAAACAAGGGCATTTGCTCAGGCCTATATGTAATAATGCTCTGGGTAGTTCATGTCCTAAACATGCTTGTTTGAAAACATCTCTGCTGAAATTGATACAGCAGATACTCCTACCCTAACCGTATGCTATGATGCCTTCTGGCCCCAGCCAAAGGCATCAATTAAGGAAACAAATGTTGGCTTTATCTCCTGGTCCTGTTTAGTACCCCAGATGTCTGGTGCAGTACTGTCTTGCTTTTTGGTGTCTGTGCTGCACAGTGACAGCCCTCACCTGGGTGGAAATACTAAGCTGTGGCATACAGAGGCTGCTGTAGCTGTCTGTAACCTCGGGGAACAGATGGTGCTGCCTGACAAATGCAGACTGTCCCCCCCTTTCCCAGCTTCTTTCTGCTGCAAATTGATGCCTTAAACAGGATTGGTGTGGCTAACAACAACCTCATCTAGGATGACTCTTTGGGGGATTAATGACTAGTCCCTGGGGAAAGGTTTAATGGTCCAGAGATCAGCAGTCCCAAGCCAGTTTATTAATCAGATGGGGCTAAGGCCATTATAGCTTAACGGCTCAGATTGCCTGGGGCAAGGCAGGCAAGGGCTCTACACATAAACAAACCCAAAAAAGCAATGAGATCCGTGGGACCTGGTGCAGAAACTCACTGATTGTTAGGGACTGAGGCTTAGCAAGGGAATGCAAAAAGAAAGGGAGTGATGGGCTTGTTTCACTTATGCCCGATGCACTGCAACCCACCTCGCTCCCTCCCTGGTGCAGTGCCTCCTGAGCAAGCCCATGGGCTTCCAGCCAGCTTTGTCTCTAGCAGTGGCTCCTAGACACTACTAAACCTATGCTGTGGCCTGGACAGTTGGGGACTACTATTGGGAGAGGAAATTTCTTTCTAACGCCTTGTTCAGAGATTAAGTTTCTGCCCTGGAGCATGGAATCTGAGATTCTTATTATTTTTATCACAGCAAGTGGAAGTGGAGAAGCTATTCTTATTCATATAAATGTCTAATCCTACTCTGATTCCTCATGAGCTGTTGCATTTGCTGTGATTACTTTTCCCAGTTATAGCTAAAATAAATTTAGCACTTTAATAATCTGCCTTTACAATGCAGCAGTCCCTGAGATGAGGCAAGTAGGCACTGAGCAGGTCCAGCTATGGAACCTGTCCCATCTCAGGGCTCAGGGAAGGTTTGGCTGTAACCTGGCTGCCCCAGAGACGTTAGATGCCATTTGTATGGAGAATGGGGCTAGTGTTATTCTTGGACTACATACCTTTTCAGTTTAGACCCTTTGGGGTTAATCTATAGCAGGACATCTGAATACAGCATAGGGATAAAGTTACTTCCCCTGGGGTACGGTGCAGGTGAGTACTATGATCCCTGGGAAAGAAGACCTGCTCCCAGGTACCAGAGACCTTTGGAACAACTCTCAACTGTCCTCATGCAGTAAGACTGGGTAGGAGCCACTGACTTGTTCTCCTGGGCTGGGAAATATTACAGCAAGCTGGTAAAGGTAGCTTGGGGTCAGTAGGCTCTTTACTGTCTTGAAAGTCAGGTCCCTGTGCTTTGTCTTCACAGAGTCTGTTTTAAGCAGCCTGCAAAGAGTCTGATCTTCTGAGGAGAGCTCTGGCTTTGCCCTAAAATCTGATCACAGTGAGAAACTGTTTCCGTTCCTATATGTTTCACATTATTGAGTTTGTGTTTTTTTCTCCATCCAAAGTCATGAACTCTGTGTGAGAGCAGATGCCTTATTTGCATATATCAGCTGCCTTTGGGGGCAAAACATCTTCTGAACTCTTATTCTGCTCTTCCTTTTTCTTCATGTAAAAATCAGCCGTTTCTGCTCTTATAAGCTGATTCACTGTTGCTTCCCTCTGTAGAACTCCTGTCTCTCTGGCTGGTCTAAGATGGTGAAACCAGCATGTCCCATACAGTCCAGTGCCTCAGCCTGAACAAATATTATGTGCAACACTACAGGTCTCTCCTGATGCTGTGTTATCAAGAGCTGCTGACACAATCTCTTCCCTGGAGAGGAACCTGCACAATCAGTAGGTAAAAGCTGGTTTTAAAGGATATAGTTAGTGGCAAAAAGTGTGGGGTTTTGTATGGATGTGGCCTATGGAACAAAGAGGGCAAGCAACCTCCTGTTTCTGCACATCACTTGATAAAGATTCCCAGTTCCAAGGGCAGTAGCTTAAATTTGATAAATCACAGAACAGAAAGAAGGTGGCAGGCACCAGGGACAAGCTGGAATTCTCGTGGAGTTCCCTTTCTGGAGAGCCACGCCTGGGCCTCGCTGCTTTGTACCCATCTTCATCAGTGGGATGTTGTATGTGGACTCAAGCTTTCTGTACTTCTGGATCCCAAGAGTTCCAAACAAGATGCTTCTATTGCTTTAGGTAGTGAAGGGCAGGTAGCTGTGAGCTGTGATGGTATCAGATCGATCAAAACTTCATTATGAGACTGTGTAGTGTGGAACAACATTTTATGCTACTAGCTCAGCTTCAGAGGTGACAGTTCTTGGTGGTCCTGCTTTTTATGGCTATACGGACTCAGGTTATGGAGTGTGATAATGATGTTCACACACCAACCCGTGGATGTATCACTGAAATTAATCCAGTGTCAAATCTGCTTGGTTCTAATTCTTGAAGCCTGAGGGCTGTAATAACTGGGGGAGCTGTAGCAGCCAACAAGTAACTCCCATACACAAGCCTGAAGTCTCTTTGCACTAAGGAGGTGGAGGAGCAAATCTTCCTCAGATGATATATGCTGGCCCTGTGTGGACCTCCCCTTAGACCAAATTCTAAGGTTCCCTGGAAGATGAAGAACACATTGAGGAAACCACTATTAAAAATATGCTGACCTATGTTTCAACCTGCCCAGTTTCCTCTTAATATAAACATATGCACTGGTTCTGAATTTAAATTCAGGTCCTAAACACTGTAGAAATGTTGGCTACCTACAGTCCACATGGAATAGTAACCCTATAACCCCTAAACCCAGCAACATGTATTAATGGCTTATGTGAAGTCTCTGTAGCAAGCATTTCAGTCTCTTCAGACAGGGAGAAGTGGGTTACTTTGTGAATATCAATGCAGATCAAATAAAACTTATCTCAAGGACAAATGCATTTGTTCTGAAAATTTGGCTACAGAAATCAGAAATGGTTCTTTTAAAATGTATCAGCCTTGAGCAAGTTTTCATCTTCTTTTTGAGCAGAGGAAGTTGGTGATGAAGCCGTCATTTGAAATATGTGGTAGGATACAGCAAAATCACTGTCTTGCAATTTGGACATATGGATCTGAAGATCTGACAAAACCATGCTTTCTGTTCTACAGACATTAGGCTGTTTTCCTTTCATTTGACTTCATGTTTACGTGGCCAGCCTGGCTGGTTTTGCACTGATCACAACTGCTATTGCGTTCTCTTTGATGAATCCACTATGGTTTATTTTGTTTGGTTTGTTGGTGTTTTTTGTTGGTTTGTTTGTTGTTTGGCTGGGTTTTTTTTTGGGGGGGGGGTGTCATGTTGGGCACGATGGGGAGTGTTTTGGGAAGAGGATAGTTATTTTATTACATGCAGTTGTTGTAGCTGGTCCATCAGTCTCAGAAAAGCATGTACAAGGTAGAGAGCTACAAAGATGCAGTTGCTGTTTTTCTCCTTTACTTAATTTAAAATGAAAGCAAAAGTCTTGCTGTGTTTAAAAATCCTCTCTTCTCTGGAGTGAAGTGATTTACGCCTGCAGCAGGAGTAGGTACCTTCTGGTTCCAGACTGCATGGAACAATCCCAGGCCTATCAGCAATGTTGGAAAGCGAGAGGGAAGATGATGACTCACAAGAAATTTCCCTGTCTGTTATGATTTTGCTTTGTCGCTTTGTGTTCTCTGGATGGCTCAGGGAGCGTTGCTTTTCCCTCAGCTACAGTTTGCTGCCAGATGAATATATTGAGAAACAGAATGTTGAGAAATCTTGGAAAACTAATGGGAAATGCCTAAATGAGCTCGGCGTATTTCTCCACTTGGCTGTTAGGCTTTCATAACCCAGTGGTGCTGGGCAGAGGGGCATGCAGGGACTTTGAGATGGTTCCACAAGAGCTGTGGGGTTCCCTTTGCTTTTTGGTTTATTATCAAAATAGGACAAAGGGTAATGATTTTAAACTAACAGGGGGTAGATTCAGACTAGATACAAGGAAGAAATGTTTTATGATGAGGGCAGTGAAACACCGGCACAGGTTACACAGGAAGGCTGTAGAAGTCTTATCCCTTGAAACGTTCAAGGTCAGTTTGGATGGGGCTCTGAGCAACCTGATCTAGTAGAAGGTGTCCCTGCTCATTGCAGAGGGGTTGGACTAGATGACCTTTAAAGGTCCTTTCCAACCCAAACTGTTCTATGATCCTACCTGCTTGGCAAAAGCACCGACATATGGTCTTACTCACAGGTTTAGTCACCTAGCACTGTATATATTCTTTTATTCTTTTGAGGTGTGATAGATCTAACTTATAAATTCTTTCTTCAGCCTTTTCTTCTCACACATTGTCTTGACTTCTTCACTTGAGCTGTTGATCTCTGCTGGATGCTGCTGGGGCTGGCTGAAGCTCTGTGACAGAAGGGCTGGTTAGTGAATGACATTTCCTGGAGAGGAGCAATAGATCTCCATCATGGCTAGGGCAACAGCAGGTCCCTACCATATTCAAGGTGCTGTAAACTCTTGGGTAGGGATTTCTGGTTTTCTGGCCTGGTGAGTCTTTGCTGCCATGTATATTCTTTGAAGCTACTGGGAGTTTCTATGGCAAACGTGGGAGAAGAGCGTAGGCACAGTTCTGCCTTAAAATTCATTTCAGATCTGCCTGAACCTGGTCCGTCTGTCCATATGGTAAAAGACTTTTCCTTTTATGATGGACACAGCTAAAAGCATGGCTACCAGCAGCCCTCAACTGCATGGTCTTGAGAAGCAGATTGTAGTGTGATTGTCTGAATTGCTGCAGCAGGTATTTCTTTGACCAGGCCTAATGTATTTCTTCAGGAAGAGTGATGTATGAAGGGAAGCTCATAGATGGGATGTTTTGCTGTCATCTCGGCTCTGATTAAGGCAGATGAAAATGCCAAGAGAAGCAGAATGATGTGAGGGATGCATCTGTGTTTCACCTGGTATTTGGAAAGGGGAAGTGTCAGAAAGTTGTCTTAGGAGGTTTTTCAGGATCAGTAGCGTAAGAGATGCAAACCAGCCCAGTGGCAGCCTGGCAATGGTGCTGCCTTTCCCTGCAGCCTGTTTTGCTCACGTGTGTGACAGAAGCTAATGTGAAGCTGGCTTTTGTGTTATCACAACACATGAAGGATTTATCACCTTCCTTAGCCTTTCATGCTGCAGACTGATGAAGGGCAGGAAACTTGTGGCAATAGAATAAAAACCATATCCCAGCAGCTGTGAAACGCAAGTCACTACCTTGTTTTTCCATGGGTTCTGTGACTGGCCTTGAAAGAGCATGCTAACACCCATCTCTTCTGTCATCTCTTGTCTGCAGTGGTTGCTTCCTCCTGGAGCCCTACAGACCTGTTATGGGATATGTATCACCTGGAAACCTCACCCAGGGGTACCCACCATATGCCCTGTGGATTTCATACCACATGCAACTTGTATTGATAAGATGGGTCTGTGCCTTCTCCCCTGCTCCTGTACAGCTGGCTGGTGCATCTTGGACCTGCCAACCATTCGAGTCCAGCGAAGGGCGATCTGATTGCAGAAGAGGTACTGCAGTGTCATTCAGCAGCTGGAGGTAGGAACCTTCTCTCATAGATGACTGGGTGGCTCTGCCATCTGATTTCGAAGCTATCTGCCTTGACATATGGTATCCTGTGCCTCGGGTCAAGAAGGCAGTTAAGAGGCCTGAGTTCTCTCAGATAAATGGCTCAGCTTGGAGCACTGTGGCTTGATGTTCCTGAAGCTGCTAATCCTAATTAACAGCCTTTCTGAGTCCATTTTATACCACTCTAGCAGCCCAAGTGGGCTTTAAAGTGAATAGAAATGACCCCATGGAGAGCTCTCTCTGGAGATGTTGCTATGCCGACCTGCTTACAGCAACTATTAAGGCTTCGGTTGCTCTCTTCCATCCTGCAGTGTTTTATTGTCATGTGGGCTCAGATGGTACCAGAAGTGTGGTTGGGATAGATGAGGCCTGGACTCGATTATTTACTTTTTTGGAAGATATGGGAAGAAGGGAAAAGAACAAGGAGGGGTAAAATCCTGTGAGGCAGCCATCTAAAGAATCAGCAACAACAACAAAACCCAAGCAGAAAGACCTGAGATTCCTCTGACGGAAAACTGAGTCAATTTTCTTTTGCACAATCCTTAAAAATAACCCCGAACACAGCTTTTTCTGCTCCCCCCCCCAACACAGTTCTTTATTGAAGCTCTGCAGACAATGAGGCATTTCCCCTGGGTGCTGGGGTTTCCTCACCCAGTCTGATGCCATCCCCACCACACTGGGCACAATGGTTATGTCTCACCTCTTGCCCTGTGGTGCAGAGCTGGAAATAGTTTTGGCCATGCTCATTTTCCTTTAATTCCATCTTCCCAAAGGCTATAAATCCGAGGCATTAAAGTGGAAGACAAATTACAATGAATGTATTTTTAGGAATATAAAAAGTAATGACTTCCTTTGGAACCAGCGCCCGCCCTCACTTTGCCTCACATAGGAATAACACCTCCTGTGGGCACTCAAAAGTGGGGAAAGAAATGGGGGGAAAAATCATGATAAAAAAATGATGGTTTTTTAGTTTGAACGCCGGCATAATGGTTTCCATGGTGACCGGGGGGGTGGTGTCTGTTGCTACCCTGTATGGTTGAAGCTGACCCAGGATGGGCACTGTCAGTGACATGGGCCCTCATGTGTCCGGAGAACCAGGGGTGACTGAAACACATAGAACTAGCCCCGAAAGAAAGATTAATGAGAGGAAATAACTCTTGGAGGTGGCTCAGCCCTGCTCTATGTTGTCAGTGAGGCCTCCTCAGGGGGGACTGGTGCGATGCTGTGTGCATTAGGGTGATCTTGTGGGGGTTTTAGTGCTTGGGAGGAGGCTCCTTCATTAGCATCAATGCTCTCTTTCCTTCTTCCTTTGGTAAATGGGATGTTTCGGGGAGATTTTAATGGAGTTTCAAGGCTTGAGGGAGCGGCAGCTGAAGGAGAGATGTTTTGTCTCTCTCCTGAGTTAATTTCTATATCACATCAGGCATGACTAATGAACGCTTCTCAAAGTGTCACATACACGGTGGCCATGTGGGCTTAGGGCTGGATTCAGCAGCTGTGCAGGCACTGCTGCCCTTCACTTTTCCATGCAGTTTGAGGGCATGAGGCTGAAATTGAGGGAGACCTTCTTCAGAGCTGGGGTTGTCCTTTTGGTTATGATCACACCAAAAGTCGCCAGCATTACTATGGGGAGAAGAAAGGCCAGAATGAAGTCTCCAAATATTAATATCACCACCCCAGAGCACATGGGTGTTTTCTTTACGATGGCAACACACTGAGGGCCAAGCAAGGGCTCCTCTTGCCTTAGAAACAATGATTTTAAATGGTAGGGACTCCTTTGGAGCAGTGTTGATTTGAAGCCACTTCTGCCTTCCCTAAAAAACTTCCCCCACGCACCCCAAAAATACCATTTTTCCCCACTTTCTGACAAGATATTTTTTCAGAGGAAATAAAAATATTAACCAGCCACAGTAACCCCATCGGGGCAGGCATGAGGGGGGACAATTTTTAGCCTTCTTACATGGGGATAGACATGGGGTTAAGACAGGTAGTCCATACTGTTGTTTATTATCTATAAGTAGCATCCAGAAATCGCAGTTAAGGATCAACCCCTAGTGTACTAGTCCCTGTACAAACGCACAATAAGAGAGACCCTGCCCTGAAGAGCATACAGTCTAAAAATGGTCCCTTACACAGCATAATCTGGGGGGGGAAGATAGGAATTGGAGACAAAGAAATGAGAAATCAACCTTTTTCCTGACTTTCTTGCATCTTCCAAAAAAACCCTATAAAACATAAATGCTGAAGTCATAATTTCCAGTCCCCATCATTACCTAGATGTAATCATTGAATCATTTAGGTTAGAAAAGACCCTTAAGATCATCCAGTCCAACTGTAAACCAAACACTGTCAAATTCACCACTAAACCACCACCCCAAGTGCCCCATCTACACGTCTTTTAGATACCTCCAGGAATGGTAATTCAGCCACTGCCCTGGGCTGGCTGTTCCAGGGCTTCATAACCCTTTAGTGAAGAAATTTTTCCAAATATCTAATTTAAACCTCCCCTGGCACAACTTGAGGCCATTTCCTCTTGTCCTGTTGCAACATCCTCCTTTCAGGCAATTGTAGAGAGCAATAAGGTCTTCCCTCAGCCTCCTTTTCTCCAGACTATACACCCCCAGGTCCCTCAGCTGCTCCTCATAAGGCTTGTGCTCCAGACACTTCATCAGCTTCTTTGATCTCCCCTGGCCCCACTCCAGCACCTCAGTGTCTCTCTTGCAGTGAGGGGCCCAGAACTGAACACAGGATTCGAGGTGCAGCCTCACCAGTGCCCAGTGCAGGGGCACAGTCACTGCCCTGGCCCTGCTGCCACACTGGTGCTGATACAGGCCAGGATGCTGGTGGCTTCTTGGCCACCTGGGCACAGGCTGGCTCATGTTCAGCTGGTGGCTGACAAACACCCCCAGGTCCTTTTGCACTGAGCACCTTTCCAGGCATGCTGCCCCAAGCCTGTAGCCTTGCATGGGGTTGTTGCGATCCAAGAGCAGGACCCAGCGCTTTGCCTTGTTGAATCTCATGCAATTGGCCTCCCCTATTGATCCAGCCTGTCCAGATCCATCCTCTCTGGGGAAGGTCTTCTTCAGTCTCCTTAAAAGCTAGATTAACCAGTCCAGGCTCTGCAATTTTCTGCCACAAGTGATGATCCTTCACTTGGTACCTCTGGATCTTTGGGTGCGTTTGTCTCCATCTTGGTAAGGGGTGTTTATTCCCTTTGGAAATGGGATTCTTTTTCCACTGTCATTCAGATTTGTATTTCTTGAAACCAGGACAACTAATTCTTCTGCACTTGAGCTTCTAGTTCACACCTCTTCATTGACTGACACTCTGCCTCGAAAGGACAGAAGACAATCAGCTTATCCAACAGGATTCATACTAGAAAGCTGGAAAGAGATTTTTCCAATCTGCAGGAAAAAAATTATACTCCTGCATGAAGTTTTCAAGGCATTTGAAACAGTGCGTATGTCCAAGGGGGTGTCCATAGCAGAGCCTAAAGGCAGATGTGGCAGATGAGTTCATTATCCACTTCATCCTGGAAGCTGTAGAGATGATTGTCCAGCAAGAAGTGGAACTGACCACACAGCAAAGTTCACTAACTTACTTGGGATGTGTGTTCTTCTGCTACAGGATCAGCCACGATAGCCAGCATCAGGCACTCTCTGGCCACCAGCAAGGGAACTTGTCATATCTGAAATAGGTCCACAACCCACTCCAGTGTGATGGCAGAAAAGACAACATGTTGGGAAAGGCAAGTGGTCTGTGCTGGTCTAGGAGGGGATCAATGGGCTCAGCTCCCACTGCCCTGCTGTGCAGGGCCACACACCGCTACTGGATGTCTCTGTACCCTGGATTCCCTGCTATAAGCAGGGAAACCTTTTTCTGAGGAGCCTGGACTTCGCAAAGTAATTCCCCCCAAAATGGTGGATTTTTCTTTCTGGCTTTTCTTAACTTTCCTTTTTTTGAGATACTGTAGAAACTTAAAACCATGATGGATTTGTGCATGCCTTTATTTATTGAGCTATTTATGATGGGCACAGATTTCCCTAAGCCATAAAGCCCCCTCCCTCCTCCTTCCCCAGGCTTAGTAATCAGCTTCCTTGTGCTCCCACCCACACTACACTATTTTCCTCTGTCAAATCCTCCACCATTGGTTAAATTACCTTGGTGTGTGTTGGCTTTATCTTTTTTTTTGGTGAAATCTTATGATTTTTCAAGTCTACTTTGCCCAAGTCCCCATCATCCTTTTAGGGCTCTTGTACAACCTGCTTCTCTCCTGGCTGATTCTCTAAAAGACCTAATTTCAACAAGCTGCTGAAGTCTGTCCTCTGGTCCCCATGATGATCATCTGTGTCCTTCAAGCTTCTCAAGTGCTTCAGAGCTACAGTGAATTGCAGATGTTTGGACTCCTTTGCACATGGATGTTAAATTTTCCCTTCCTTCATCCCTTTCTCAGCTGCTCCCGTTCCACCTTTTGCTGCCTGTGCTCTGCAGCCTGCATTGCCTGCACACCTTTTATGCCACCATTCTGTTAATGACTGTATTTGGCACAGGCCCTGGTTTGCCACCAGGGTGCCAAGTCCCACACACATGCTACCAGCTGCCTTCTGACATGTGAAGACTCGCTTCACTCAGCATCTGTCACGTGAGCCAGTTTTAATCTAGGATGCTCTTTCCTTTTGGCTCCCTGCAGAGATCACAGGACCCTGTTTAATCCAGCTCTCTGTTGGTGTCTGGTTGAGTCATAGGAGGCTTTTCTGTTGCTACATCTAATAGAGCTTTGCTATCAGGAGCAGAACATCAACCCGCTTGGCTGGGAGTCGGCGCTGTCACCCAGCAGCTCTTCTTGTCTGGAAGTGGTTTTGATTCTTTTCTTAGACTTCTCCCTCTCTGTGTCTTTCTCTCTAAAACATTAATTTCCTCTAATTAGAGCCGCCTTAACAATTCTTTTTCCCCCTCTCCTCAGTTAATTTCCTCTAATTAGAACCTCCTTAATAATTCTTTTGCTAAATCAATTTCCTTAGTTAGAACCACCCGCCATAATTCCTTCTCATCCTTTCAAAAGCTGTCGGAGCAGCTAAGTAAATTATCCTTCTGGATAACCTTTGTCTCTTTCTTGGTATTTTAAAAGAAGAACTGTAACAGGTTAGACAGGCACAGTTTCCCCTTCCAGAGCTATGCTGGTCTGACCCCATTAGGTTATACTTAGCAGAGTGCTGTACTACTGTATACTTAATTAGGTGCTCTACCTGTTCTTCTGGAACTAAGGTAAGGCTGTATTTATGAATGAATTAAACATGACACTTCATTATCCAGCTCGCATTTAACAGTGTCAAAATGCATCTTTAAACCAGATCAAATTGCTCTCTAAGAACATGTAAAACCTGCTGCCTCTGTTAGCTGTGCAGTGAGCCAGCCCTTCCTAACTTTGTCTCTGCAGCCATGCTGGCTTTCTTCCTGTGGCAAGCCTTTGAAGTACTAGTCGTTTCTAAAGCCTGATGGTTTTAAAAAGGGTGTTTTGTTTGTAATTTACACACTAACTATTAATGGCACATTGCTTCTCGGTCATGCTGTGGCCCACATCAGCAGTTGCTATAAATGGGGGGGGAGCCGATTTACACATTATGGACCTTGGGCCTGAGTTTCCTCTTTTACATTATGCAGTTTCTTCCCAGTTGAGATAGTGTTACACATTTCTCTATCCCTTCATGATGGACCATAAGGAACCATCTCACTATGACCTTCCTGAAATCTACCAGGGTGACTTGCTCCAGTTCCTGATTTTAGAAAGAAAATGGCCAAGTATTGATGTGTCTGGGAAGAGCCATTCAGTTTAGTGGTCTCTTTTTTTATGTAATTATGGAAAAACCAAAACAGACATAAGAAAACACATTGGAGCTGCAGGAACGCTCTCTCCCCACCACTGGTAGGTGCAGTACTGGTAGCAGATCAGATTCTCTTTTCTATTACCCCTTTCTCAGGTTAGCAGCTACTACCAAGCAGGGATCTGATGGTTTCAACCAGTGTTGTTGTGAAGGAGAGCACTGCCCTTCTATGACACATGGTGCAATAAGGCCTAGTTCACATGAAACAGGCCAAAGAAAGCTACCTCACAACAGACTCACAAGACTAGTTCTGGTCTTTTTAGCATAAGGACTTTCTCCCTCTTCTGGCTCTGCCCAAGGTAAGCTGCATAGCGTGCTCAGAGTCCTGATCACAAAGCAGAATGTCACTCTGTGCCACGAAGAGTCTGCTCCACCAGTAAGGCAGATGGGCCCTTCAAACTTGTGAAGCGCTTTTTACCACCATCTGATGAGAATCAGCAGCTCCTCCGTGGGTGGATGCCTTGGGTGCCACTTGGTACAACAAGTGGAGTGATCCATAAGGAATGCGACACTCTACGGGGAGGCTTGCAGCCGCTCCATCCACGTAAGTGTCACCGTCAGCTTTCTGGGCAGGTTCAAAACATTTTAGCCAAGCTCAGCCACTGTGGAAAAGCTGTACTGCTGCCTTCTTAGACACTTCTTTCCTTCTGACCTTCCCAAGCTTCACAAAGTCTGCTCTGGAGGAAGTGGTGCAGAAGCTGTAAGATCTATTTTATTTCCTTTGCAGTCTTAATAACAATACAGAAAACTCCATTTACCATCACTTCCCATGGGTTGGATGGGAAAATTAAACAAATTAAGGGTTTTGCTTTTGACAAAATCCCTATTTTTTGACATGGGAACAGGATGTTTGGGGGGCAATTTTACAAGGAGTAAAATGCTGGTGGTGCTGGAGAAAGGGTTCTTGGGGAAGGGTAGATTCTCTAAAAACATATGTTAGAAGGCTAAAAAAATGCTGTCTGTTCTTCTCAGAAGAGATGAGAGCAGGAAGAGGGAATCACCAGGTTGGATTGTTCAGACTGACAATCTACTACAATGGAAGAGATGTTCTCTATGCTCCTTGAGAAGCCCATCTTGCTGGTCTCCAGTCCATTCCAGCTGACGACAAAGAACAGCTAGAGATAGAGATAGGCAATCCAGTAGACAATGTTGAAGAGCAGGAAGGCGGTGGGGAAAAATACACGAGAGTAGGAGTCCAGGCGGGAGATGTGAATACGAACCCTCCCCTCCCGCCACATTCCTGTCTGACAGTCCTCAATGCAGCAGAAGAACCTCTCACATTCCTTTCCCTCCAAGCATGGGGAACCAGGGTCTTCATCCTCATCATCTTCGATCTCTGCAGGCCAGTGCATGATGTTGTTGATGTTGATGGTGGTAAAGGATGGCATCACCTGTGCACAGGTAGGTGGCTGTAATGGGGGGGAGTAGGTGAATTAAAGGGAAGGAAAAGGCAAGAAAACATGTTCTAGACATCCAAAGCCCTCTACTTGGCAATAGGTCAGTTCATAGCATAGGTGCTGTTCAATGTACCTGGTTGTAAATCACTACCTTGGTCTACTGTGGAGACTAGTAGCTACCTGCATGACTGTCATTTTCCTCCCTGGCACCCTAGGACATAGCCTTAGTCAGCGCAGATCTAATTGCTCTGGTTCCCCATATCTGCTACTAACAGTCAGTGCAGAAACAGGACCTCTTTGATTTCAGGAGTGCTAGCCTCTTCCCTCATTCCCCTGAGCTCAGTTGTCTCTGAGGACACAGCACACAGGCCAGATGTGTCTTCTGGTTGCTGTAAATTGCTGGGGAAAGTCTGTATGTACTCATAACCTCTTGGCCCAGGAAAAGAGATGTATAATCAGCCTCAGAGAAGAGTTCTCTCCACCCATGCTGGGCAATGAGGCCGTCTTTGGTGTCAGTTCTGTCTCAATTCAGAGGCCTGTTTCAGCTGATGTGTCAGAAGTCCTGCAATGAGTTTGGGCAGATCTCAAGAGGATGATGAACATGGTGTTCACTATTCCCATACTCAGGAGGTCTTCCAAGGTACAGACTATAAAAGAAAGTAGGTTTCTGCTTCTCTGTGTATCAGCATAAAAACAAGAACGTGGATCACCCTGTCTTAAAGTGGACATTTACATTTGGTCATGTGAATTATCATAAACTATACTGATAAGCTCTACAGCAATTTCAAAGAGGTGCCTGGCTCTGACAGGGACCTTCTTGTCTAAGGGAGCATCATCAGCTGCTTTTTCTAGTTGTGTCTCATCTTTCAGGTACTCAGACCTAGCACACAGAGTGGTCCAAGGACCTAATGAACAGTGTGGGTCAGGCACTAAACCAGATCAGCAATTTCCATGCAGGCTGAGGAGGGATATTTCTAAATAGCTTGAGGTTCTAACAGCACCCACCTCTGCTGGCCCCTTTGACTTACCAGCCTGGCTTTCCTGTTGTTGTGCTCAACTGGTTTCTTGTTTCCCACCAGGTAGTTGAGTGTAGCATACTCCATGAGAGCTGCAAAGACGAAGATGAAGCACACAGAGACAAAGAGGTCCATGGCTGTGATGTAGGAAACACGGGGAAGGTGCTTGCGGGAAATGGTACTCAGGGTGGTCATTGTCAACACAGTTGTGATACCTAAGAGAGAAAAGAGATGGTTTTAGTAATAAAGTAGAGCACTTCTGTCTTCTACATGCATCCAACCCCCCAAACATCCCCATTTACACTCTTCTGTGTGAGAGAAATTCTGCTGGTTGTTTGGTCCCGTTTTTGCTCTGCTCAGCAAGACTCTGGCTGTGAGGTTCCCTCTAACAATGCTCTTACGGAAGAAGAGCTGTTCAAAACCCAGGCGTCACACAGGCCACCAATGTGGACTGGTAAAGGAGCGAAGAACTCGGACTCTGCTTAAGACTGTACACAGGAAAAGAAGCTTTGGTAATGGGAGGGTAATGTAGTAAGCACCAGTCACAAGGATCCCTTTCTCGCCTTGGTCTCTAATTCTTACCCATAAGCCTTCCACCTACTTGTCACTATTCTTCAGAGACGGCTCTTCACAATCTATTAATTTCTCAATGTAGAGGGCAAGTGGGGAGGAGATGATAAGGAATCTTTTTTGACTTGAATGAGGCTTGGAATTGTTTCTTGCAGCAGCAGTAACGCTCACAGAACAAAATATCCGGTGCTGGTACCATGATCCATCATCCACTGCTTTTTAGGATGTGGAGAAGAAGCAGCAACTCCACCTGTTCCTCCTTCTCTAGCATTCGTGTAAACCAACCTGCCACCTTTTCCTGGGTGAGCCGAATGGCTCAGGGTGGCAGCATAGCAAGAGATTTACATATTTTCCTTCTGTATTTGCATTAGCAGATGTGATGTGACTTCCCATATATTTGAAATGCCAATGGAACTGGTCCAGTTTACGTCTCCTTAATATAGACTGGCAGGTTTGAAATGTACTGGGGATCATTTGTATTAAGGATAGCAGGGATGCTGTAGAGAATACATCGCTCTTGATGTGCTGAGGTCCCTTCTCATAGAGATGGCCCCCCCGGGAAAACTTGCCTTTGTTTTTTGAGTCAGCCACCATAGGGGTGTCAGCTGCACAGAACATTTTGCCTCTTGCTGTCCATTCCTTTCCCAGCCACAGACTAGAGCGTTCCTTCATCTGCATTGGAAATGACACTCCATTCCTCTTCCTGCTCTATCCATGGCCACCAAAGAAATTGATTTTGATAGGGAGGCGGGGAGAGATGGTCAGAATGGATGGATTCTGAACAGCCCTGCCTGATGCTGAAGGCCCCTCGCCTCTCCTCTTCCTTCCCTCCCTCCCCTCAGAGGCTTGCAGGCAGGGCTGGGAATGCTACTGAAGGGAAAGTCAGCAGGGCTGATGGGAAGGATAGCATTGGGAAGCAGAGCTTGACAGCCGAAGTGCATTAAATATTCGTAAAGACCTCTCTAGTGCCTATCAGAGCAGGATTCAATCAACATAAGCATTTTCCTGTCTCAAAGAGCCACCGCAGGTTGCTGAGAAAATCTAAACAACAGGCAGAGCTGTTGCCACATCCTGGACTCCCACTGTGGTGTGACTGACAGAGAAAGGCTGTACCTACAGGGCTGCCACATCCTGGGACTCGGTGGGTACAGCTGAGCAACTTTGTTCATTACCGTACAGCCTTTATGTCACTGGTCCTACACTGACCCCTTGAAAAGGGTTGAGGAAATGCAGAACACACGCATGTGACACGAGCCCTTTGGCCAGCATCGGAATGCCACAGCTCACCCCTTCCCTCTCCTTTTGGTACATGAAAATACCTCATTGTCAACTTGGAAAAGGCTGTGTTCAGGTCTCAGATTGAGATATGAGAGTGCTGTGCTACCCTGAAATAATCCAGTAGCCCAAGCTAGCACAGCTGGAGATTTGGTTGAGCCTGACGACAGTGTTACACATACAAAGACGGAAGAATGGACTATCCTCCAGGATGCTGAATGATGCCAGAAAATGGCACAGAAAAGCGCTTAAGGAGTTTTTTGACCTCAACACTGTCTGCAAGCCTTGCAGAGTTCAACAAGCATCAGACATGCAACAACCTGTCTCTTACCCAGAGATGTCCTGGCTGGTGTAGAGTCTCTCTTGATCCAGAAGGAAACCCAGGAAAGAACAACAGTCAGGATGCAGGGAATGTAGGTCTGAATGGCAAAGTAACCCATACGTCTACTCAGGTCAAAAGAAACTGTCATCACCATATACTCCCCTAGGAAAAAGTAACAGAGACATTGGAATCACAACGTGCCTTCCTAAAACACAAAAATCAGCAAAGTTTCAGAATTTGGAGTGTTTCTGATGAGGTTTTCTTGTAGTTTTAACTGCCTGGCCAGCTGGTTTTGTGGCTGGCTTTGTGGCTGCCCAGGTTGTAAGCTCCATGGCCAGCTGTGTGGCCTGCTCAGTAGGTTTAGTGACTCTCCAGCACTGTGGCTGGCTGGTTTTACGGCTAATGGACCTGTGGCTACATGGCTGGCTCTGTAGCTGTCTGACTTAACGTCTTTGTGACTAACGGAAGAGCTGACTTTGTGGTTGCCCAACTGGCTGCCTGGCTATGTGGCCACCAGGCTGTACAGTCCTGGCTGCGTGTCCAAGCACACTGAAAAACAGACTGGACAAGTTTCAGGGAAGAAACTACAGTGAGTATTCATCTTCAGCTGATTGCTGTGAAGGTTTCTTTTCTATAGAAGCTATTTAGCTGTAACAGGCTACACGGTTTGGCTCACTAACTATCTACCTGAGCTGTGACAAAGGAGGTGTCCTTCAATCACTTCCATTGAGACTCTAGTTCTGTCCCTGGAAAAGGCATGTGGTGCTGTACATCCTAATTGCTCATTTGGCAACTTGCAGCTGAGGTTCTCCCTCTTTTTCAGAGGCTCCTAGTGAGTACTGGAAAAAAGCCACCTGAAACTCCAGGGTTAAGATGGAGCTTGCAAGCAATTACCGGAAAAGAGAACTACAAACATCAGACAGACACTGGTGCATTCAAGACACTTTGACTGCACCACTTCTTGTCCTGGTTTATGCTGCCTTTTCTACCCTGGTTAGAGGCTGGCTGCTGGTGCTGGCAACAGCAGCTTTCTGCAGCACTACCTCAACTTGCTGCTTCAGAGGGCTTGAAACATATGAGCTGACCCCATCTGCAGGAATCCAAAGAAGCTTTCCTCTGTTATCTGTGGAAAGGAGTGGGGATGTGAGCTATTATGAGGAGGTGGAACCGGAGGGCCTCCATTCACTGGTTTCTTCACACATGCAGCCTATTTCCTGTCTCTTCAAGCGTAACTCGGGTTTCTTCACCCCACACAATTTTACAGGGGGGAAGTTCTGATTTCTCCACCTTTGTTCTGATTATAAGCATCACGCAGGATCATGCAGTATGCACATACTGCAGCAAGAGAGCTCCGCCTCCTCTCTCTCCTGACCCTTCAGTTAGAGATAGCTTCATTCACATCAGCATTGTCACAGTTCATAAGTCAGTAGTTTTGTCCTACCCCTGCTTAGTCTTCACCTCACCCTTCACCTCCAGCACTTCTGCTCCCTCAAGCAAAGGTCCATCCCTTCATCTACATTGTGACCTTCCTTCCCCACCACTGTGGAGCTGTCTGATGACTCCTTTCCCTGCCATGAGGTCTCCACCACACTGGTGTTTCTGTGGGCTGGCTCCCTTTGCCTCACCTGCCCCAGTCCTGAGAACTTCTGAGGTGTTCCTCAGGCCAGTGAAGTCAAACTGGTAGAGCCTCCAAGTGCGCTGGTCAGAGACCTCAATGGAGTAGCGCCTCCAGCGATAGACGATCTCCTCACGTGGGTATCCATCTGGGAAAAGCGGGAGGACATCAGTGAAAGACTTCATCATGTTCCTCCAGCTTACTGAGGCAGGTATTTCTGGTGCTCATTGGACCTTCACTGCTCCTCATGACTACCTTCCTTTCTCAAGCATGAGTACACCAAGAATACAAAGCTGCCAACAAGGGAGGTAGCACGGCTGTGGCTGCTCTGACTATCTCTGTATCTCTCACCCTAGAAATTGATCTATGTATGGAAAAGGAAGGGTGCATTCTCCATGGAGAAGGGGACCTGGCTCCTGCAGGCTGCTTCATGGCTTCTCCTTGCTCTGGTTTTCTTGGCAAAGAAACAAACCTACTGTGAAGCAGGGACCTTGACACCTACGGAAGAGCTCCTCAGAGTAGGGAAGGAGCGAGAGTTTGGCAGCCAAATAAAAGTGTGTTTCTAATTATCAAGCATGTGGGGCATGTACTGTTAATTAGCAAAGAACGAGGGATGGTGGGAGATGAGGGGATGATATCTCCTCAGCATGCTGCCTCTCTCTGAGGCACTTCAGAGCCATGTGAGCTGCATCTCTTCAGTGGCAAGGGGAAGCGGGAGAGGCGAACCCGAGCTAAAATGACTAAACCAGTTTTCCAAGCAACGAGCGAGGACAGGAAACTCTTGGTGCAGAAAGGCTCCCTGCAAAATTGTCAGTGGGGATGTGCCAACATCAACAGCCCTTTCTGCTAATGCGAATAGACAAGTGGGGATTAGGTGCAGAGGTCTGAGGCTCTGAGCTGAGGTCTGGAAAGCCAAGCTGTTGCCTCAGAGGGTGGGAGAAAGGGAGAAGATGCAAGGCAGGATGGATGCCATTTGTCTGGAGTGACCAGAAGATCAGTGGAATAATCACCCTTAACTTTCCACCCAAATTAAGGGACACTCAGAGGTGCTGTGAATCTATCGCTGCAGATAGGCTCTGCTAGCCCAGGAGGGGGAGGAGGCTTCAGGGCATGGTGGGTAACAGTCCAAGAAGAGAGTCATAAAGATCAGGTGGAAAAGAGAGGATGGTCTTCCCAAAAGAGTTTTACACCAGTGAGGTTTTTCTACTTGCCTTCTAAAGCTATTTAAACAATACATGTATCACAGTATCACACAGTATCACAGTATGCTAGAGATTGGAAGGGACCTCAAAAGATCATCTAGTCCAATCCCCCTGCCAGAGCAGGAACACCTAGATAATGTTACACAGGATGTGTATACATGTATACTCACAACTGGAAAAAACCAAAGGGCAGGAGTGAGTGTCCATTGGGAAATTCTGCAGCTGGAGCAGACATTCAGCCTCGATTGTCAACCTGAGAGAGGAAGCGAGAGAGGAGACTGAGATTTTGTGTTGAAGGTGGTTTGATTCCAGCACCACAATATGACAGAGGAATTCTCGCTTCCTTGAGAGAGAAACACTAATTTGTTGAAGATCAGTCTGTTTGCAGGAACATTTCAACACAGCACCAAAACAAAACATATGTTTGGGTATTTCTAAAGTGAGAAAAAACATCTAATTTTCACATTCAAAAAGCCTTTTTTATTTGATAAGTTTTTGAGATTCATTTATGGGAGTGAGAATCTGTAGGAAAAAAAAAATAAATGTTTATTATGAGAAGGAAATAGATGGACTGACCAACATTAACTTTTAAAGGACTTTGGTTTAGGAAACCATTTGTAGCTTTAACTCTTTTTTAGGCATTATATGGAAAAACAGTTTGATTTTTTGGAAGCCTTCATCCTGGGAAGAGGAAGCCCATTCTGCAACCAGTACTGCACATCTACTCCCATCAGCACTGTGAGACATTCCCACTACTGTGTCTCAGGCCACTTGGAAACCTGCTCTGCTTTGACCAGCTCCTTGTTCCCTCACCTCAGCAGCCAGCTACAGCGCCTGCTGCTTGTACCTGAGCGTGTAGAGCACTTTTCCGTCATTCCAGATGCGAAGGAGCTGATTAGGAGTGGTTATCCAGTGGGAATCAGCCCGCTTGGAGTTCCTAAAAAAGGTGTCTGGGATCCAGATGCGGCTCACCATGTTGGTGTTGAGAGTGAGGGCCTTCAGGGTGCTGTTGAAGCGAAGACGTCGGTCATACCATGTCTGAGCAAAGAAGATGTCAATGGTGTATTCCTGTGAAAGGGAAGGAAGAATGTGTCCTTCTGAGAGGATTCATGCAAAACATAGCCCTGTCCTCTGCTCTGCAGGCACCATTCTGGAGTTACAGTCAGAACATCTGCTTTTTAAGCCTAAGAGAAGGTGTCAGTGACCACTGACACATTTCCAGGCTCATCTTTAGCTGAGGGTCAGGACATCCATGGCACACTTGGGAAGAGCCAAAGACTGTGCGCTGACTGGTGTGCTGAGCCATAGCACGTTTCGCCTGACCCATGGCTGGAAAACCAGGACCATATAATGAGGGCCTGGGCTTCCTCTTGATGGACAACTCAAGCCAAACACTCTTTTTAAGCACAGGCATGAAGGAACTGTGTAGACATTGGCTGAATACAACCCTAAGTTCAGCTACACCTTTCAAACACAGGCAAGGAAAGCTGCTCACCAGCTTACCAGAGTAGGCAAGCAGGCAGCTCTTTCTGTTAGTTATTAGGATCCAGCCCAGGAGTGCTCTGTACACCTAATTTGTACATACAGCAATAGTAGTGTTGTGCATAAAGCTAATGAGAATCCACCCCTTACTGCAGGACTTAGACTGTAAATAGTTTATACAGAAAACCAGGGCACTGTGGGCTCCTGGGCAGATACCCCTTGCTGAAGATTAGAAAAGGAAGCTGGGGCAGGGGCTGCTATGGACCCAGCTCTTGGTGCAACCGGTTCAAAAGCTTGAACAAGGTTGCGCCGTGTTCTTTTACAGACAGAACACGGAGTTTCCACAAAATGAGAACCTTTGGTTTTAGAGGGAGAGGGTGTCCAAGCTCACCCCTAACTAGCATGGCTGGGAGGCAGCTCCTGCCCGGATTGGGCTGGCAGCAGTCCACCTCATTAACCCACCTTTCTGCTGCAAGCCAATTTGCTCCTTACCCTCTTTCTCATCTGCCTGTGAAGGTGCTAATTAGTGCCATGCAAGAGCCTGTGTGGCACTCAGTGCCTGGCTGAACCAGACCCCCAGGTCCACTTCCACCAGCTCATCATAAACACTGTCACCTGCTCCTGACAGCTCTTCTCCAACCTGGGCTTTGCTCCCTTTCACTCCTGTTAAACCCCTATGACCACAGAGGCATTATCTCCCTCTCTCCTGCAGACAGAGATGAACAATGTCTGACTTTGCCATCTCTCCCTCTCATTCTCCTCCTCCATCTATTGATTTATCTCAGTGGAATTTTTATGACTGCAGCACACCCTCCCTCCGCTGCCCTTGCTGCTGGTTCAGAGCCGACTCCTCAAACCATGCTGCTAAAATAGATGCTGTGCTCTTAGCGCGCTCCCTTGGACAGCTTGTCCTGCTGGGGCAGGCAGAGCAGGGCAGCGCACGACTCCCCACTTCACTTTCCTCCCCCTCGCTCCATTGTCAGCCAACCGGCGAGGAGTGATTGGTACCAAAAACGTCCCTTGCATAGGAATGAGATCATGAGAAAAGAACATTTGCCATCAGGCAGCCAAGTCTCTCTCTGGACTGATCCTTCACCCGGGTTAGACACAGGCATGAGCAAAGGTGACAGTGATGAGGTCCTCACATATCTCTAAATGGGGACAGTTGCAGCATGCTCAAAGTGATGGCATTGCCCCTGCAGTTCATTCAAAACAGACATGAGGAGACTGAGCAAGGATAGCAGCAGCCCCCAAAGCCAAGTGCACAAGCATAGCCGCTACCCCAGGGCAGGAGGTGGGAAGAGCCCATTCTAGTGCTCTGGATCACACTAGATATTGCTTGGATGTAGGGTATGTAGTGATGAAGGCATGCATGGGGCTGTGAACACTGAAATAGAGCCCACAGATGGGCAAATCAGCATTGACACAGCAGGGACAAGATGGGGTAACGGCAGCCCAAGAAAATGACATATATGGGGAGGCCTGACTGTATTCTGTTTGGGGCTGTTTTCTTTTCCTTGCCAGCTTCCAGCTGTTGGGGCTAAAACCCTGTTTGAGCCAGTACCAGCTTATATCGCTCCTCCTAAGCAGTATCTGTGGTGTAGAGGAAAGCAACCAAAAATGCAATTATAAATCCATGTTAGATGCCACTATCAATTTCTAACTCCTGACTGGAGTAATTTGTGAGCTCTTGCTTCTGGGGTGGCTGCTCAGGTTAGATGTCCTGCTGGGAAGTTCAGCATTCAGCACTGGGATAACCAGTGCTAATGTTTTGGGAGAGTGGAGGGTCAGCTATCCCAGGGGTTTAGTATTTGTTGTCAAGCGGAGATTTTCAGAAGGGATGAGCATTAAAGAGCTCCTCTTGTGCCATTCATAGCCAGCCTTTGCAAAAGGTGTAGTGCACAAGTCATTCACCTCTTCTGAAAAACCTGAGCTGTTATTGTCACTGTCCTGGTGTTTGATCTAATTTCAGAGGCTATTATTAGCACAGCTATTCATGAGGAAGAACTTAGTAGCTGAGCTGGCTCCCTTGCCTGTATGTGAGGAACCCATTGGGAAACGTTGGCATTTGGAAATGTATTTTCATTCAGAATTATCTGAGGCAAGATTTATATAAGAACACTCCAGCCTTTGGGAGCATTTCTACCCTTCCAGTTCTCTCCCCCATCCCTGTTTGTGTGTGGTCCTTGGTTGCTGGCTGGGGTTAAACCAGTTTCTGAAGACTTTAGCACTGCTCCCACAAGGTGAGGTCTGTATTGGTGCTGGGGAACCTTGCACAACTGTGGCTCTGCAGGGGGAGCAAAGTGCTCAGACCTTTCTCTGAGTATTAATCAGATTCCACTTAGCTGTTTATATCCGATTAAAATAGGAGGTGTTTGACCATGGGTTCCCTATGGTCATACTTCTGGAGGGAGATCCCAATACAATGCAGCCCAAGCTGTCTTCTGGAAGTGCCTCCCACTCTTACTGACCTTACAAGAGTCCAGGCTGATCAAGGCTGAATAGCTGAAATTTGGCAGGATGAGCTCAGCCCCTAAAACTTACTTCCTGCACCCCTGTAGTTTCTGTCTGCCCCTGATTCATTCTCAAGCATCAGAAAGAGACTTCTCAATACCTCAATTTCCCCGTGTAGAAAAAGGTTATTGTAAAATACGCCTCCAACCCTACTGTACCATCTGCTGCGCAGCACATGGAGGTTGTTAACTTCTCTGTCAAAGCACGGGCTTTTTTAGTGTTTTCAACCAGAAGGAGCTAACGAAATAAGAGGAATCACTCTTCAGTTAGGTCGCGCCATTTAGATCACACGTGGGGTAGCACACGCATGTTGGCATGCATGCAGTTTTACATCAAATTTCAGTCACAGAATAATGAATCAAGCTACCCATACGGCAATCACTGCCTATCCTAAATACTATCATGATCTTAAGGTCCTTTCCAACTCTAACTATTCTATGATTCTATGTGAGTTCATCCAGTTCTGGTGCTAGCTGTGCGGGTTCGTGCCCAGCTCAGCCTTTCAGCATGTCCCTGCTAGGCCCCTTGGTCACTGTCATCACACAGCACTGCTACACATCACTGCTCAGCCCTTGTTTTCCTCATGTGGGCAGCATGGATGGTGGTGGAAACCCAATTCCAAAAAAAAAGGCAAAATCTGAAAACACTTAATGGAAAAAACCTGTCCTGCAAAAGAGCATTTGTGGGAAATAAAGGGATGTGGAGTTGACAAGAATATTTCATCTTGGAAGCAAAAAAATAAAGCAACAACAAAAAGATTTTACTGCACTCACAAACCCTTTCATTTTTAAAGCCATAGTTTAAGTAAAAAGCCATGCAATTTCCATGTGAAAAGTAATTTCAAAGAAAAACCCCAAATTTTCCATCCAAAGGAAAATGAACAGGTTCAGAAATCAGCCTGTCACCAGCACAAGAGAGTTTGGAGCTGACCAGTGCTCTCAGTGTGCTGCCCTAAGCCCTGCTCTGTGTCACCTCAGCCACTCTGCCCTAACCTTCACAGCCCCAAAGCACCCATTCCATTCCTGACATCCAAATACAGCCAGAACATCCAGCCTAGCCCCAGTTCACTCCTCCCTCTTCCTCTTCTCTCACCTCTGTGTGTATGTGCACACATATTGGGAATCAACCAGTTATTTCCAGTTGAATTTGGTCCCAGGAACTCTAGACTAATTTCTACCCTGGGTTCAGATGAGTAAGGGCTACCTGGTTTCAGACTAACAGCTTAAACTCACAGCATTAGCATGACACAGCTTGAAATTAGCTGTTTGTATTTTCAGGTTACCTTGTACACCAAGCCTGGAGCTGTGCACTACCACAAGAACCTTTTCAAATGGCTCAATGCATGTGCAATTCAGCTGACCCCTCTCAAGCGTGCGTCTAGTGGGATGCAGAGGAATTGGTACCCCATGGCTCCTTTCTATCTAGGAGCTTCTTCCCCTGTGTTCTGTAAGAGCTCAGCTTTCTGACAAACGCCCAAGAGAGAAGCAAAGCCGTGAGATGAAGATGTCTTAAATTTTTTCCTAAAATAGGAAAAAATTAAGGATTTCAAGGTGTTTTTTTACAGCTTCACTTGTATTCAACAGCAACAAGAAAACCTCCAAATAGGGAACACAGAACCTGGAAACAGGTTCCTCTATTTTTCTCTGTTGGAGAAAGAGTTTGAAAAAATCCTAAATAACAGTGAGAGGTTATGTCCTAGCCAGTCTCATTCTGGCTTTTATTGTTCTGATTTTGGTTTTATTCATATAGCCCCTTTCCTCTGCACTTCCAAGCAAATCCCTCGCTGCAGTACAGTAAAGCAGGTTGCTTTTCTCAGAAGCATGGCCAGCATTCCGTGTGGGCTGATGTGAATCTTATGGATCTATGCTGTCAATCACAGAGCTAAGCAAAAGGAGCATTACAGGCAAGCTCTTTGGGATGCTGCAGGTCAGTGAGACCTCAGGAGTTACTGGAAGAGACCCAGGAATGGGGTGTATTTCAAGGGCTGTGATAGGAGGCTCCATGCAGCCCAAGGAAAGCCAGGAAGCTTCTCCTCCAGTTTCCCTCCTCTACGATACAGGGGTCAGCCCAAG